ATCTGTTATCTTAAAGAAGCCTCGTCTCAAGTCTTTTTATTTGGCTTTATTGAGACTTGGGAAATAAAAGGTGCCATACAGTGACAACAAGCTTTGAACTGTAAGTTAATCAGAGATAGATAGATAGATAGATAGATAGATAGATAGATAGATAGATAGATAGATAGACAGACAGACAGACAGACAGACAATAGACAGACAGACAGACAATAGACAGACAGACAGACAGACAGACAGACAGACATGCAGTCCTGCATTCCATTGTTTCACATGGTAGATAAACTGAAGGCAAGTTTGGTATAGTGATTAAAGGCACCAGGCCACAAACTGGGAGACTGTGGGTTCTAGTCCCACCTTAGGCACAAGGCTGGGTGACTTTAGGGTAGACCTATCTCATAGCCCCAAGGAGAAGGTGATGGCCATTCCTTTCCAAAAATGCATGGACTTGTCTAGGCAGTTGCCAGGAGTCCTGTCTGACTTGAACTCACAAAACGAACAAAAACCAGAAGTAAAGATGGTGTTTTCTCTAGTTGTTGCCTAGAGAACAAACCATGAGGGTCTAGCTTCTAGAGACTTACCACACATTTGATTCTCAGGCAAGGTAAAAATAAGGATTGTCTTTATTAACGCATTTCTAAAAAAAATAGTCCATCTTCTTAAACTATGGTTCCAAATTTCTGGCTATAGTTCTCTTTCCCTAAATCCTAATCTGATGGGAGAAAAACAAACACACACACCCTTCACCTTTCCAACATGGATGCCAAATGAAACTGCTTCAGGAAATCAGTTTGCTGAACTGAAAAGGACAGAGAAGCAGAAGCCCAGAAAGCCGGAAGCACACCCCCAACTCGAAAAGGAAAAGGAAAACAGAGATTAGCTGGACTAGGAAAGTAATGGCAGATGTGAATTGTTAGGTCTTGGACTGTTTGTGGTAATAGTCTAGACTATTTCGAGCAACACCCTGTTCAAAAGGATGTATAATAATGCCATGCTTTCTGGATTTTTTAGAAAACAGGATGTACCAGACTCCTGGTGCACTCAATTTCATGGTTCCAGTTTGTCAGAAATTAAGCCAACCGTTTCCATAGTTCAACCAGTGTAGGAGAAGATGTTTTATTCTAGCTCATCATTGAACTATGAGTCCATCTATTCTGAACATGTACTTTTCTTAATTTTATTTATATTATTTATATTTAATTTTATTGAAAAAGTCTCATTAAAAAGAATGAAAACATGTCAAATTAATATTTTATATGGCAGAATAGTATATAAATAGAATTTAGTTTCCATGACTTTATAAAATGTGTTTTTAATAAAAATAAGAAGGAAAGTGAAATGCTGCAAAACACTTGCTTCACATTTATTTTAAATAATAACTTTGGGCAACATAGAATAGAAATTCCACTGGATGGAGAAGAACCTCCTGGTGGTCTCATTCTCCTTCTGGCAAATTAGTGTTTGTAGCACCACCATGGCAGCTATTTGGAAAATGGGCAATTTGCCCTCAGTAGCCATTTTTGTGAGTTTTGACCTTTATACTAGGATCTGAAACCTCAGCTCTATGCTTGATTGTGAAGTTGAAAAAAAAAATCATATTGGAAGAAAGCTGTTACAGTGGTCTAAGGACTGAGTGGGCAGTTTATAAACTTTGTTAAATAAATATATAGGCTAGAAAAAACATTGACTAACTTTATTGCCAGTTGGAAGCCCCTTTTGGATTTTTTGCAGGAGACAGAAAAAAATGAAATTATGATTTGATGATTAGTTCAAATAATAGGATATACAAAATATGTATGTTAAGAAGTAGTTTAAGA